ATGTATTTTTAATCAATAAAAATGTTTAAATATGGTTTTTTTAATGAAAAACTGAAGTTGACAGTGACTGTGGTTTCAGAAATGTCACATTTGTATTAAGTTGTAGAATCAATGAAAAACTGAGGAAACGACTGTATTTTCTAATGCGATAGCGAAGTGAATGAAAAGTTTTTGAAGTCGATGAGGAGACGAATGTATTTTCTAATGCGACAAGTAAGTCCACAAATTATAAATGTGGCAACGAAGGAAATGATATGTTCTGAAACTGAGGAAACGACTGTATTTTCTAATGCGGCAAATGTGAAAAATAAGTCTATAAATTATAAATGTGGCCACGAAGAGAAAGAAATGTTCCTTATATCTTACCTTTGTTGAATGTATTCTTTCGATAGGCTCGGAGAAAGGCTGTGGTCAAACCGTTTGCGAAACATGCGAGGATTTATGAAAGCAAAGCAGTGACAAAAAGATAGCATTTTGTGATGCATCATAGTTTATTATTTATAAACCGGCAAAAGCTGAATTTTTTAAATATTTAATTAATTTTTTTTAATTAAAAAAATATGATTTATTTGCGGAGAAGCAATTTCATCCAGATGATATCCCCACCCCGCCCCCTACCTTCCTTCCTTCCTGCCCCCCTTTGGGATTCGAACCCGGGCCTTCCGGCCCGGCAGTTAGCTTCGCTAACCACTGTCCCGTCTGGGCAGGCTAGCCAGTTTCCTGTCCCGCCAGCACTTGCTATGCTTTGCATACCATTGAATGTTTTCGTTCCAGTTACTCGGAGAAAGGCTGTGACTGAGCTAGTGAAACGATTCGTGATACGTACACCTGAAAACTATGACACTGATATGCATACATTTTGATAAATAGCAAACTTATGAAAAACCACCTGCATTGAAATGTATTAAGGCTGATTTCCGGAAAGCAGTGTGTATATAAGTGAGCTGGGACTAACTGCTAAAGTACAATTTTTCCTTATTCGGTTATTGTGTGTGTATTAGATCCTCATTTTGAAGATAAGAAATTGGATGCAGAGCAATGAGGATAAAGATGATGACTTGTAGAGCTGAAATATATATGATCAATTTCTTTTGCAAAGAGTGTGAATTAATTTTAAAAATGCCAATATGAAATTATAAATTGAACAATGAGTGATTTAAGGATAAGCAGGTAACAGCTAACCTTTATCATATTCTGGCCCTGAAAAGGGCCTTTTTTGATGGGGAAAGCTTTGAAAATTTACTTAGAGCTGGTGTACTTGGTGACAGCTTTGGTTCCTTCCGAAACAGCATGTTTTGCCAGTTCACCAGGCAACAATAGACGTACTGCAGTTTGTATTTCTCGGCTAGTGATAGTACTCCTCTTGTTGTAATGAGCTAAGCGAGAAGATTCAGCTGCAATTCTTTCGAAGATGTCATTAACGAATGAATTCATGATAGACATAGCCTTACTCGAGATGCCAGTGTCAGGGTGAACTTGTTTCAAAACTTTGTAGATGTAAATAGCGAAAGATTCCTTCCTGCGCTTCTTCCTCTTTTTCTTGTCACCAGCTCGGACAGCTTTCTGTGCCTTTCCGGCCTTCTTTACAGCTTTCCCAGATGCTTGAGGAGGCATTTTTTAACAGTCTTCGAATGAACTGAAAAGTGCACATTGGATGCAGCATATTTATTGAATTTCATTCTTTTCATTTCCATCCAATGAGAAACGTTCTAATACAGCCTATCTTGGAGAGAAAAGGTTCATTATAATACATATATATACAAATTATTATTACAATTTCATATTACTGATATTCTGTGGATTATAGTTTTGAGCCACATTTTTTAAAATTTCTAATTTATTGATTTTTTTTTTTTTTTTACTTGTTCTTCCCCTTGGGGGGGGGGGAAATCTCTTTTCCAATGGGAAGTACTTATGACGGAATAAAACCCCTCTTATTGATAAAAGTATATGACAGACGTGCACAAAATGAAGTAATACTCTAAAACTTCGAATTTTGGGTTACTTACATATGTTTATTTCGCTATTTGTAAGCGTCAACGGCCATACCATGCTGAAAGTACCGGTTCTCGTCCGATCACCGAAGTCAAGCAGCATCGGGCGCGGTCAGTACTTGGGAGGGTGACCACCTGGGAACACCGCGTGCTGTTGACACTTTTTTGTCCCCTTGCAAATTTTTATGCTCCCTTAGTAATAATTATCATTTAAAATACCTTTTTTTTTTTTGTCTTTATATTATAGGAAACCTGTACTATTATTACAATTGAAGAAATGCAAGCTTGTATATTGTGCAGAAAATAAGGTAAATATAAATAAAACTGAAAGTTCTTGACTGTATATTAAAAATTCTTAAAATAAAAAAGGGAAGAACCTTACTTTATGATACCTCTTCCCCTAATATAAGTATATAATAACGTAGATGTAAATAACATTGGCATTGCCTTTATATTAAATACCACGTAGTTTACACATGCTACATTTACGATGACAGCGGTATTTCATATTTTGTCTCTACTTAAATATACAATATTTTAATATCTGTGTAGTGAACTCAAATTCCTTAATTATTAATCAACACAGTGTTTGAGTAGCTTTCTCTAGGGCTTCGACAACGACCGAAATTTTAATATATTCTATGATTATTACAGTTTTTTTTCCCCTGTTGTGTGGGCGGAGTTAGTTCATCCTGCAGGAATAAAATTTCATGTACTTCAGAACTCTTTTGGATTATAATACCGTAAGTATTATAGAAAACTGTTAAAAGAACTAGGAAAATATTCTAGGGAGCATAGACAGGGATGGAAATGACATTAATTGTTTGTAATTCTATCACCCTCCTAATAATTTCTTCTTATTGGTCGAACAGACACTAATTTCGTCACGTGACAAAAAGCATAAAAATGCGTGCGTCTGGGGTTCGACGGCAGTATATCTGAATTTATTCTTGAAAGTTACATTCGTAGAATTTTACCTAGCAGAAAATGTCTGGCCGTGGAAAAGGTGGTAAAGGTCTTGGCAAAGGGGGTGCAAAAAGGCATCGCAAAGTGTTAAGAGATAACATCCAAGGAATCACCAAACCAGCAATTAGGCGTTTGGCAAGACGTGGCGGTGTAAAGCGTATCTCGGGCCTCATCTATGAGGAGACAAGAGGAGTACTTAAAGTTTTCTTGGAAAATGTTATTCGAGATGCAGTTACCTATACTGAGCATGCAAAAAGGAAAACTGTCACTGCCATGGATGTCGTTTATGCGTTAAAGAGACAGGGACGTACACTCTACGGATTTGGTGGTTAGAGACCTTTACTTTCCCCACACCCTGCTCTTTAAAAAAAAAAAAAAAAAAAGGCCCTTTTCAGGGCCATACAAATCTTAAATTTAGAAATGCCTTTATTGCTGTCATATAATTTCACCTCATGCTTTTCTCTTGAGTCACATTTCAAATTAAAATTAGCATTAAATGTTCTTTTTATGTATCTGAATTCTAACACAATAAATTTAATTGCTTTTATGTCTCTAAATTAAAAAAAAAAGACGTATAATTTAAAATTTTAAAGCACGTAACCAGATTACAACATTTTAAACTTTAAAAAAATTCTCAATTTAAATCTTTGAAAAAAAGTATCAATATATAGAGTGGTCACACATAGGACTCTCTTCTTCAGAAGCAATAAAGGCATTTCTTTTTTAAAATTTGTATGGCTCTGAAAAGAGCCTTTTTTTTTTTTTTTTTCATTTGTACATTATAGTACACAATCCCTTACTTCTTGCTTTTCTTTGGTGTCGCCTTTTTAGCAGCTTTAAGTTTTTTTGCTTTTGGAGGCTTAGGCTTCGCTGCCTTTACAGCTTTCTTAGGACTTTTTGCTTTACTCGCCTTTTTTACACTAACTTTCTTAGTGGCAGGTTTCTTTTTCTCTTCTTTAGCCTTAGCTGGCTTCTTAGCAGCTGGTTTAGCTTTCTTGGCTGATGATGCAGCTGCTTTCTTCGGCTTTTTTTCCTGCTTTCCTGACTCTTTACCTTTCTGACCGGATGCGCTAACTTTAAATGAACCGGTAGCTCCTTTACCTTTTGTCTGAACCAGGTTTCCACCCGCCACAGCACTCTTCAAGTACTTCTTGATGAAAGGTGTCAAACGGTCAATATCTACCTTGTGATGTGATGCAATATGCTTCTTAATAGCTTGCAGAGATGAGCCACCGCGTTCCTTCAAACTAGAAATAGCCTCCACGACCATTGCTGAAACCTTAGGATGCGACGGCAGCGCTTTCGGTTTCTTACTCGGACTTTTCTTCGCCTTTTTTGGCGTAGCAGCCACAGGGGTAGCGGAAACAGTAGCAGTTTCTTCAGCCATCTCGCTCACAGTTTTGCAGAGAAATGAATCAAATTTCTGAGTTACATTAATGTTATACAATAATGCTAGGTGGCGCTTAGAAATCTTTCGTCTGCAATAGGTCTCCTTAGTCACGTGATTGGAAATAAAATTGATAAATAGGCCAGGTCTAAATTTCGCGGGCACATTTTCTCGTTTTAACGAAATCGTGACCTCTCGATATGGCTCGTACTAAGCAGACTGCAAGGAAAAGTACCGGAGGTAAAGCTCCTAGGAAGCAGCTGGCCACCAAAGCTGCACGTAAAAGCGCACCAGCAACCGGAGGTGTTAAAAAACCTCATCGTTACAGACCAGGTACTGTTGCTTTGAGAGAAATTCGTCGTTTATCAGAAATCAACGGAATTACTTATCCGTAAATTGCCTTTCCAGCGCTTAGTTAGAGAAATTGCTCAAGATTTTAAGACCGATCTCCGATTTCAGAGCTCAGCAGTTATGGCTCTTCAGGAAGCCAGCGAAGCTTACCTCGTAGGATTGTTCGAAGATACCAACTTGTGCGCTATTCACGCCAAGAGAGTCACCATCATGCCCAAAGACATTCAGCTGGCCCGTCGAATTCGAGGAGAGAGAGCTTAAAATCATAATTTGTTCAAAGTAAGTAAAAAAAAAAGGCCCTTTTCAGGGCCATACAAATAATTTAATAAGATTCAATATAATTGCTGTCATGTATTCCGTCTTTTTTTTTTATATTAATTTGTTTTACTTTACATTACATCATTCTTTTAAATAAAAATCTATTGTGATAGCAATTATTCCATCTAATTAAATTATTTGTAATTTCTGAAGAGGGGCTTAAAACACCGAACTATGCGTTGTAATAACTTACGAAAGTTAAGAATAGAACGACTTTTCAGTACAAATGTATACAGCAAGATGGCGCCACTTCTCAGATGCGCCTTAAACTCCCTTCACCTATAGTTTAGCATTAGCCTTTCTTTCCGAGTCCCATGAGTTAATGTTTTATAATGTACATGAAAATATATACGAATGTGTCCTGGGAGCACATCTTTGTGCGAATTTTGAATGAAATATATGTATGGAAAAGATTTACCAACGTATGCTGCAATTTTCAGTATAAGCAATTAAGCATTCTCTTCTTCGTACATTTTCTGGCCCTTAAAAGGGCCTTTTTTTTTTTGAAGCGTTAGGGGAAGTAGGAATTATGCTTTCTTTTCGGTTTTTTTTTGGGAAGTAGAACAGCCTGGATATTGGGTAGAACTCCACCTTGTGCAATTGTGACGCCAGAGAGTAATTTATTCAACTCCTCGTCGTTTCTGATGGCCAGCTGCAGATGTCTTGGAATTATTCTGGTCTTCTTGTTATCTCTAGCAGCATTACCGGCCAACTCAAGAACCTCAGCTGCCAAATATTCTAAAACTGCAGCAAGATACACTGGAGCTCCAGCACCAACTCTTTCTGCATAATTTCCCTTTCGCAGAAGACGATGGATACGACCTACAGGAAACTGAAGACCAGCACGACTGGACCGAGTCTTGCTCTTCCCCTTTACTTTGCCACCTTTTCCACGACCAGACATGACGATATTATTTGTGGGGTATACGAAATAATGACTGGCGACGGTCCTGGACAGACATTTTTATCAACTCTGTACTTATTATGTCTGGCCAATCAGATCCCGAGTTTTGAATCCGAATAGAATCGTAGCCTCGCAATATTTGTTACGTACTCATCGTTGAAACATGAATTGTCATTCCTCTTGATTCTTCTCTAAATTATTTAAACCTGTTATATCAAATTTTACTGTACTGAGTAAAAGCATTTCATGACCAAGTATTCATAATTACAGAATATTATTCTTATTAAAACTAATGTATATTATATACATTTAATTTTACTGGTTATTCCTTCTCTTTCAACTAGCGAAATGCTTCATTATACAAACTTCTGGCATATAGTTTCACTGTATATATGCACTCCTACTGTATATATGCACTCCTACTACTTCACTGTATATACTACTCGTACTACTACTGTACTATTACTACTACTACTGTACATATAGTTTCACTGTATATATGCACTACTACCTATATATGCACTCTACTACAAGTAGAGTGAGTAACTAGTTGTGTATACGAAAAAAAAAATTAAAAATGTATATATACTTACTTGAATGTATATATACTTACTTTAAAAAAAAAAAAATTAAATAATATGAATGTATAAAAGGTACACAGTACACGGTCAACATTTCTTCGCCAGAATAGGTAAGCACAAGTGCTGTAGAAAAATCTGCACAAGAATGAATATATTGTGAACCAAAAGAGAATTTAAGAACTCCTTAATTCCAATTTAGTGTTCTATCCCGGTTGCATCCAAGATACCCGAAGCGAAATCTACCTATTAGCCAGTCAGGGGAACTCCTCACTGGCGCCAGAACATCTCATCCACTTCAAACCCTTCTCAGTTACAACAAAATCCCTAAAGAAGCTGTAAGTGCTGTACATACCGAAAACGTAGTTGATTTCTTGACATTTTTAACAGTTATTGAGCTTTAGAAAAGAAAACATAATGCAATCTCCTTTTTTTTTTTTTTTTTTTGTTGTTGTTGTTTTCCATTTTCTTCAATTGCCTATATTTTTTGCCTTGCACTGAGGTAGTTTGGCAAAATTTGGTTATATGAAATCTCTTAAATTTATTTCTCAGTTAATTTATTGAACTCTATTTTTCGGAACAGTGAAGTAGTATTCATTGAATAAATATTGTTAAGTTTGTGATGTGTGTGTACACTGATTACTTGACTGAACTTGGTAGTTCTTCAATTCATATCACACATGCCTAGTATTTTCGTGCATTTAGCTGCTGAAAAATTATCAGTAAAGACGGAAAGTAAGTAATTTAGAACTAAATGTTGACAAAGATCAGATACTGAAATTAATAATTCATAAATTTTAAGTAATCCTGTCAATGCATTAGCCAATTTACTAAATGTTAAAACAATAACTTTTCAGAGAAGCTATACCCCTACTGATTAGAAGAAATGCTGTGCTGCAGCAAATCTGCATATATATATTTAAATTCTTTAAACATAAATAACTATCCAAGTAAGTTGCTATAGGTATGGCTGTCTTTCATTGAAAATACTTAGTTACATAAATGTTGGAAAAAAAAAGACAAACAAAAGGTTTTATACATTTTATTTCTACACTAAATCAAGTCACACATAATATAACACAGAATAAAACATATTGCAGGAATGCACTGTAATCATCACTCTCTGTTGGCATTTAGTGAGGAAATAAAACTGTTGCCACTTACACTGTCTATAAACAGCTATTGAAATACAACATCCCTCAATATATGTTTGTGGGTGGGAAACATCCAATAGAATTCATTCCTCAAAACAATGCTATTGTCCTGAAGTGACCCCTCAGCTGATAAAGTGGTCAGATCAGGTCATACAGGTGTAGCAAGATGGTGCATGTGATGTTTTATGTTTTAATTCAACCAAATGTAGGATATTGAACTAAATATAGTTTTTATTGGAAGGTAAGTTCATTTAAGATTATATTTTCAATTTGTAATAAGTAATATGAATATTAATAGCTGTCTATAAGTAATATGAATATTTGTATGATGAAAGCAATTTGCCAAACAATTTTTTTCCTTCTTAGTGTTCATTGTTTATGTTTTGCCTGACCAGGTTTTTCGTATGAAATGTCTTGTAATTTTTTTTTCCTGTTGTGTAAATGTTTATTGTTTATAATAATAATTGTTTTGTGAAAAAAATAATATCCCATAATTCTAAATGCTTTGTGAAGTCTTCCACTTAATATAGTGCATCTTCATGTCAGACAGACTTTACTGCGTATGTGCTATGTATTTGTATTTCATTTGTATTCTATGTATTTGTATTCAATATTTTTTTATGTTAAAAATATTTATTTGATGTCATCTTTATTTGTATACTTCGTATTTACGATGTATATGAAAACCCTGAATACTTTACTATGTATGTACATGTGAATACTTTGCTGTGTATATGAAAAATTTTGTATTTATTTGATAGTGCATCAATGTCTTTGAAGGTATGCATGTTGAAAGATAAAACTGTAATTTTGAAACGCTTGGTATGCATCATGAAAGATAAATGTTATGGATAAACTGCATTACTGAAATGAAAACTGCATTGCTGAAACTGCATCATGAAAGATAAATGTTATGGATATGGATAAACTGCATTACTGAAATGAAACTCAGAATGCATGTTCTGAGCGGATTCAGCAGGATGATTCATTGATGTGATCATTATCGGTTCTCATTTGAGTAATAATTAGAATATTTGAAGAATTTACTCAAAAGCTCATTTAATCAAACATCTCAAAAAAAGCTCATTTAAAAGCAGATGGAATCATCTCACAGTTCCCAGAATGCGTGCAGTGTTTAGTGAATATTACCCAATTTCTTGCAATTGTTATTGATTGATGTTTTTTGCTATTGGATGGGTTCACAGCAGAACCACTTTAGAGAGAGAGAAAAAATGAAATGTGACCTATTTGTATGTTGTTAAAATATGTATTTTTAGAGGCTGTTTCTTTTTTTATTGTTTGTGGTATGAAATATCGGATTTGCGGCATGAAATAAATGTTGTCAAAATATGTATTTTTAATCAATAAAAATGTTTAAATATGGTTTTTTTAATGAAAAATGGTTTCAGAAATGTCACATTTGTACTAAGTTCTAGAATCAATGAAAAACTGCAACTGAATCAATGAAAACTGCAACTTGCAATTTTTATTGATTGATGTTTTTTGCTATTGGATGGGTTCACAGCAGAACCACTTTAGAGAGAGAGAAGAAATGAAATGTGACCTATTTGTATGTTGTTAAAATATATATTTTTAGTGCGGTTTCTTTTTTTATTGTTTGTGGGATGAAATATCGGATTTGTGGCATGAAATTTCAATGTTCGTGGTATGAAATGTTGTCAAAATATGTATTTTTAATCAATAAAAATGTTTAAATATGGTTTTTTTTAATGAAAAATGGTTTCAGAAATGTCACATTTGTATTAAGTTGTAGAATCAATGAAAAACTGAGGAAACGACTGTATTTTCTAATGCGATAGCGAAGTGAATGAAAAGTTTTTGAAGTCGATGAGGAGATGAATGTATTTTCTAATGCGACAAGTAAGTCCACAAATTATAAATGTGGCAACGAAGGAAATGATATGTTCTGAAACTGAGGAAACGACTGTATTTTCTAATGCGGCAAATGTGAAAAATAAGTCTATAAATTATAAATGTGGCCACGAAGAGAAAGAAATGTTCCTTATATCTTACCTTTGTTGAATGTATTCTTTCGATAGGCTCGGAGAAAGGCTGTGGTCAAACCGTTTGCGAAACATGCGAGGATTTATGAAAGCAAAGCAGTGACAAAAGATAGCATTTTGTGATGCATCATAGTTTATTATTTATAAACCGGCAAAAGCTGAATTTTTTAAATATTTAATTAATTTTTTTTAATTAAAAAAATATGATTTATTTGCGGAGAAGCAATTTCATCCAGATGATATCCCCACCCCGCCCCCTACCTTCCTTCCTTCCTGCCCCCCTTTGGGATTCGAACCCGGGCCTTCCGGCCCGGCAGTTAGCTTCGCTAACCACTGTCCCGTCTGGGCAGGCTAGCCAGTTTCCTGTCCCGCCAGCACTTGCTATGCTTTGCATACCATTGAATGTTTTCGTTCCAGTTACTCGGAGAAAGGCTGTGACTGAGCTAGTGAAACGATTCGTGATACGTACACCTGAAAACTATGACACTGATATGCATACATTTTGATAAATAGCAAACTTATGAAAAACCACCTGCATTGAAATGTATTAAGGCTGATTTCCGGAAAGCAGTGTGTATATAAGTGAGCTGGGACTAACTGCTAAAGTACAATTTTTCCTTATTCGGTTATTGTGTGTGTATTAGATCCTCATTTTGAAGATAAGAAATTGGATGCAGAGCAATGAGGATAAAGATGATGACTTGTAGAGCTGAAATATATATGATCAATTTCTTTTGCAAAGAGTGTGAATTAATTTTAAAAATGCCAATATGAAATTATAAATTGAACAATGAGTGATTTAAGGATAAGCAGGTAACAGCTAACCTTTATCATATTCTGGCCCTGAAAAGGGCCTTTTTTGATGGGGAAAGCTTTGAAAATTTACTTAGAGCTGGTGTACTTGGTGACAGCTTTGGTTCCTTCCGAAACAGCATGTTTTGCCAGTTCACCAGGCAACAATAGACGTACTGCAGTTTGTATTTCTCGGCTAGTGATAGTACTCCTCTTGTTGTAATGAGCTAAGCGAGAAGATTCAGCTGCAATTCTTTCGAAGATGTCATTAACGAATGAATTCATGATAGACATAGCCTTACTCGAGATGCCAGTGTCAGGGTGAACTTGTTTCAAAACTTTGTAGATGTAAATAGCGAAAGATTCCTTCCTGCGCTTCTTCCTCTTTTTCTTGTCACCAGCTCGGACAGCTTTCTGTGCCTTTCCGGCCTTCTTTACAGCTTTCCCAGATGCTTGAGGAGGCATTTTTTAACAGTCTTCGAATGAACTGAAGTGCACATTGGATGCAGCATATTTATTGAATTTCATTCTTTTCATTTCCATCCAATGAGAAACGTTCTAATACAGCCTATCTTGGAGAGAAAAGGTTCATTATAATACATATATATACAAATTATTATTACACAATTTCATATTACTGATATTCTGGATTATAGTTTTGAGCCACATTTTTTAAAATTTCTAATTTATTGATTTTTTTTTTTTTTTTACTTGTTCTTCCCTTGGGGGGGGGGAAATCTCTTTTCCAATGGGAAGTACTTATGACGGATAAAACCCCTCTTATTGATAAAAGTATATGACAGACGTGCACAAAATGAAGTAATACTCTAAAACTTCGAATTTTGGGTTACTTACATATGTTTATTTCGCTATTTGTAAGCGTCAACGGCCATACCATGCTGAAAGTACCGGTTCTCGTCCGATCACCGAAGTCAAGCAGCATCGGGCGCGGTCAGTACTTGGGAGGGTGACCACCTGGGAACACCGCGTGCTGTTGACACTTTTTTGTCCCCTTGCAAATTTTTATGCTCCCTTAGTAATAATTATCATTTAAAATACTTTTTTTTTTGTCTTTATATTATAGGAAACCTGTACTATATTACAATTGAAGAAATGCAAGCTTGTATATTGTGCAGAAAATAAGGTAAATATAAATAAAACTGAAAGTTCTTGACTGTATATTAAAAATTCTTAAAATAAAAAAGGGAAGAACCTTACTTTATGATACCTCTTCCCCTAATATAAGTATATAATAACGTAGATGTAAATAACATTGGCATTGCCTTTATATTAAATACCACGTAGTTTACACATGCTACATTTACGATGACAGCGGTATTTCATATTTTGTCTCTACTTAAATATACAATATTTTAATATCTGTGTAGTGAACTCAAATTCCTTAATTATTAATCAACACAGTGTTTGAGTAGCTTTCTCTAGGGCTTCGACAACGACCGAAATTTTAATATATTCTATGATTATTACATTTTTTTTCCCCTGTTGTGTGGGCGGAGTTAGTTCATCCTGCAGGAATAAAATTTCATGTACTTCAGAACTCTTTTGGATTATAATACCGTAAGTATTATAGAAAACTGTTAAAAGAACTAGGAAAATATTCTAGGGAGCATAGACAGGGATGGAAATGACATTAATTGTTTGTAATTCTATCACCCTCCTAATAATTTCTTCTTATTGGTCGAACAGACACTAATTTCGTCACGTGACAAAAAGCATAAAAATGCGTGCGTCTGGGGTTCGACGGCAGTATATCTGAATTTATTCTTGAAAGTTACATTCGTAGAATTTTACCTAGCAGAAAATGTCTGGCCGTGGAAAAGGTGGTAAAGGTCTTGGCAAAGGGGGTGCAAAAAGGCATCGCAAAGTGTTAAGAGATAACATCCAAGGAATCACCAAACCAGCAATTAGGCGTTTGGCAAGACGTGGCGGTGGTGTAAAGCGTATCTCGGGCCTCATCTATGAGGAGACAAGAGGAGTACTTAAAGTTTTCTTGGAAAATGTTATTCGAGATGCAGTTACCTATACTGAGCATGCAAAAAGGAAAACTGTCACTGCCATGGATGTCGTTTATGCGTTAAAGAGACAGGGACGTACACTCTACGGATTTGGTGGTTAGAGACCTTTACTTTCCCCACACCCTGCTCTTTAAAAAAAAAAAAAAAAAAAAGGCCCTTTTCAGGGCCATACAAATCTTAAATTTAGAAATGCCTTTATTGCTGTCATATAATTTCACCTCATGCTTTTCTCTTGAGTCACATTTCAAATTAAAATTAGCATTAAATGTTCTTTTATGTATCTGAATTCTAACACAATAAATTTAATTGCTTTTATGTCTCTAAATTAAAAAAAAAAAGACGTATAATTTAAAATTTTAAAACACGTAACCAGATTAAATACAACATTTTAAACTTTAAAAAAAATTCTCAATTTAAATCTTTGAAAAAAAGTATCAATATATAGAGTGGTCACACATAGGACTCTCTTCTTCAGAAGCAATAAAGGCATTTCTTTTTTAAAATTTGTATGGCTCTGAAAAGAGCCTTTTTTTTTTTTTTTTTTCATTTGTACATTATAGTACACAATCCCTTACTTCTTGCTTTTCTTTGGTGTCGCCTTTTTAGCAGCTTTAAGTTTTTTTGCTTTTGGAGGCTTAGGCTTTCGCTGCCTTTACAGCTTTCTTAGGACTTTTTGCTTTACTCGCCTTTTTTACACTAACTTTCTTAGTGGCAGGTTTCTTTTTTCTCTTCTTTAGCCTTAGCTGGCTTCTTAGCAGCTGGTTTAGCTTTCTTGGCTGATGATGCAGCTGCTTTCTTCGGCTTTTTTTCCTGCTTTCCTGACTCTTTACCTTTCTGACCGGATGCGCTAACTTTAAATGAACCGGTAGCTCCTTTACCTTTTGTCTGAACCAGGTTTCCACCCGCCACAGCACTCTTCAAGTACTTCTTGATGAAAGGTGTCAAACGGTCAATATCTACCTTGTGATGTGATGCAATATGCTTCTTAATAGCTTGCAGAGATGAGCCACCGCGTTCCTTCAAACTAGAAATAGCCTCCACGACCATTGCTGAAACCTTAGGATGCGACGGCAGCGCTTTCGGTTTCTTACTCGGACTTTTCTTCGCCTTTTTTGGCGTAGCAGCCACAGGGGTAGCGGAAACAGTAGCAGTTTCTTCAGCCATCTCGCTCACAGTTTTGCAGAGAAATGAATCAAATTTCTGAGTTACATTAATGTTATACAATAATGCTAGGTGGCGCTTAGAAATCTTTCGTCTGCAATAGGTCTCCTTAGTCACGTGATTGGAAATAAAATTGATAAATAGGCCAGGTCTAAATTTCGCGGGCACATTTTCTCGTTTTAAACGAAATCGTGACCTCTCGATATGGCTCGTACTAAAGCAGACTGCAAGGAAAAGTACCGGAGGTAAAGCTCCTAGGAAGCAGCTGGCCACCAAAGCTGCACGTAAAAGCGCACCAGCAACCGGAGGTGTTAAAAAACCTCATCGTTACAGACCAGGTACTGTTGCTTTGAGAGAAATTCGTCGTTATCAGAAATCAACGGAATTACTTATCCGTAAATTGCCTTTCCAGCGCTTAGTTAGAGAAATTGCTCAAGATTTTAAGACCGATCTCCGATTTCAGAGCTCAGGCAGTTATGGCTCTTCAGGAAGCCAGCGAAGCTTACCTCGTAGGATTGTTCGAAGATACCAACTTGTGCGCTATTCACGCCAAGAGAGTCACCATCATGCCCAAAGACATTCAGCTGGCCCGTCGAATTCGAGGAGAGAGAGCTTAAAATCATAATTTGTTCAAAGTAAAAAAAAAAAAGGCCCTTTTCAGGGCCATACAAATAATTTAATAAGATTCAATATAATTGCTGTCATGTATTCCGTCTTTTTTTTATATTAATTTGTTTTACTTTACATTAGATCATTCTTTTAAATAAAAATCTATTGTGATAGCAATTATTCCATCTAATTAAATTATTTGTAATTTCTGAAGAGGGGCTTAAAACACCGAACTATGCGTTGTAATAACTTACGAAAGTTAAGAATAGAACGACTTTTCAGTACAAATGTATACAGCAAGATGGCGCCACTTCTCAGATGCGCCTTAAACTCCCTTCACCTATAGTTTAGCATTAGCCGTTTCTTTCCGAGTCCCATGAGTTAATGTTTTATAATGTACATGAAAATATATACGAATGTGTCCTGGGAGCACATCTTTGTGCGAATTTTGAATGAAATATATGTATGGAAAAGATTTACCAACGTATGCTGCAATTTTCAGTATAAGCAATTAAGCATTCTCTTCTTCGTACATTTTCTGGCCCTTAAAAGGGCCTTTTTTTTTTTGAAGCGTTAGGGGAAGTAGGAATTATGCTTTCTTTTCGGTTTTTTTGGGAAGTAGAACAGCCTGGATATTGGGTAGAACTCCACCTTGTGCAATTGTGACGCCAGAGAGTAATTTATTCAACTCCTCGTCGTTTCTGATGGCCAGCTGCAGATGTCTTGGAATTATTCTGGTCTTCTTGTTATCTCTAGCAGCATTACCGGCCAACTCAAGAACCTCAGCTGCCAAATATTCTAAAACTGCAGCAAGATACACTGGAGCTCCAGCACCAACTCTTTCTGCATAATTTCCCTTTCGCAGAAGACGATGGATACGACCTACAGGAAACTGAAGACCAGCACGACTGGACCGAGTCTTGCTCTTCCCCTTTACTTTGCCACCTTTTCCACGACCAGACATGACGATATTATTTGTGGGGTATACGAAATAATGACTGGCGACGGTCCTGGACAGACATTTTTATCAACTCTGTACTTATTATGTCTGGCCAATCAGATCCCGAGTTTTGAATCCGAATAGAATCGTAGCCTCGCAATATTTGTTACGTACTCATCGTTGAAACATGAATTGTCATTCCTCTTGATTCTTCTCTAAATTATTTAAACCTGTTATATCAAATTTTACTGTACTGAGTAAAAGCATTTCATGACCAAGTATTCATAATTACAGAATATTATTCTTATTAAAACTAATGTATATTATATACATTTAATTTTACTGGTTATTCCTTCTCTTTCAACTAGCGAAATGCTTCATTATACAAACTTCTGGCATATAGTTTCACTGTATATATGCACTCCTACTGTATATATGCACTCCTACTACTTCACTGTATATACTACTCGTACTACTACTGTACTATTACTACTACTACTGTACATATAGTTTCACTGTATATATGCACTACTACCTATATATGCACTCTACTACAAGTAGAGTGAGTAACTAGTTGTGTATACGAAAAAAAAAATTAAAAATGTATATATACTTACTTGAATGTATATATACTTACTTTAAAAAAAAAAAATTAAATAATATGAATGTATAAAAGGTACACAGTACACGGTCAACATTTCTTCGCCAGAATAGGTAAGCACAAGTGCTGTAGAAAAATCTGCACAAGAATGAATATATTGTGAACCAAAAGAGAATTTAAGAACTCCTTAATTCCAATTTAGTGTTCTATCCCGGTTGCATCCAAGATACCCGAAGCGAAATCTACCTATTAGCCAGTCAGGGGAACTCCTCACTGGCGCCAGAACATCTCATCCACTTCAAACCCTTCTCAGGTTACAACAAAATCCCTAAAGAAGCTGTAAGTGCTGTACATACCGAAAACGTAGTTGATTTCTTGACATTTTTAACAGTTATTGAGCTTTAGAAAAGAAAACATAATGCAATCTCCTTTTTTTTTTTTTTTTTTTTTTTGTTGTTGTTGTTTTCCATTTTCTTCAATTGCCTATATTTTTTGCCTTGCACTGAGGTAGTTTGGCAGAATTTGGTTTATATGAAATCTCTTAAATTTATTTCTCAGTTAATTTATTGAACTCTATTTTTCGGAACAGTGAAGTAGTATTCATTGAATAAATATTGTTAAGTTTGTGATGTGTGTGTACACTGATTACTTGACTGAACTTGGTAGTTCTTCAATTCATATCACACACATGCCTAGTATTTTCGTGCATTTAGCTGCTGAAAAATTATCAGTAAAGACGGAAAGTAAGTAATTTAGAACTAAATGTTGACAAAGATCAGATACTGAAATTAATAATTCATAAATTTTAAGTAATCCTGTCAATGCATTAGCCAATTTACTAAATGTTAAAACAATAACTTTTCAGAGAAGCTATACCCCTACTGATTAGAAGAAAATGCTGTGCTGCAGCAAATCTGCATATATATATTTAAATTCTTTAAACATAAATAACTATCCAAGTAAGTTGCTATAGGTATGGCTGTCTTTCATTGAAAATACTTAGTTACATAAATGTTGGAAAAAAAAAAGACAAACAAAAGGTTTTATACATTTTATTTCTACACTAAATCAAGTCACACATAATATAACACAGAATAAAAACATATTGCAGGAATGCACTGTAATCATCACTCTCTGTTGGCATTTAGTGAGAAAATAAAACTGTTGCCACTTACACTGTCTATAAACAGCTATTGAAATACAACATCCCTCAATATATGTTTGTGGGTGGGAAACATCCAATAGAATTCATTCCTCAAAACAATGCTATTGTCCTGAAGTGACCCCTCAGCTGATAAAGTGGTCAGATCAGGTCATACAGGTGTAGCAAGATGGTGCATGTGATGTTTTATGTTTTAATTCAACCAAATGTAGGATATTGAACTAAAGAATATAGTTTTTATTGGAAGGTAAGTTCATTTAAGATTATATTTTCGATTTGTAATAAGTAATATGAATATTAATAGCTGTCTATAAGTAATATGAATATTTGTATGATGAAAGCAAATTTGCCAAAACAATTTTTTTCCTTCTTAGTGTTCATTGTTTATGTTTTGCCTGAACCAGGTTTTTCGTATGAAATGTCTTGTAATTTTTTTTTCCTGTTGTGTAAATGTTTATTGTTTATAATAATAATTGTTTTGTGAAAAAAATAATATCCCATAATTCTAAATGCTTTGTGAAGTCTTCCACTTAATATAGTGCATCTTCATGTCAGACAGACTTTACTGCGTATGTGCTATGTATTTGTATTTCATTTGATTCTATGTATTTGTATTCATATTTTTTTTATGTTAAAAATATTTATTTGATGTCATCTTTATTTGTATACTTCGTATTTACGATGTATATGAAAACCCTGAAT